TATATATATAAGCATACAGTATTTATAAAACTACCCCTTTTATAAATTAAAACAAACTTTGTGCTGTTTACCACACTCAGTGCTCATACTGTGTATGTCAATATTCTTGTTTTTAATGAATATTATTTATTAGTTTGACTGCAACTTGTTAGAAACAAACCATATAATGATATTACATTTTATATACTATTGACACAAAGTAACCAAACTGAAATCTCATAATAATTATAGAACCATGTCACAAAGCTAAAAAAAATAATGTATATTAAAAGTTGTCTACTTTACACAAACAGGGTTTTAAAAGACCCTGACAAAATCAGCCAAAATAAGAGCAGTCCATTATTTTATCATTCAATAAACTAATGATATCCTTATTGCAAATATGCGTTTTATAATGAAGAGAAGTTTAAAAATAATTCTCAAACAAAGAAGAGTACTTCAGTTCACTGAGTGCCATTATTCTCAGTTGGATTTATTGATCAGAACCATCCCTTCATCGTGTTTTTAGGTGTGTGACAGAACGATCCGTCCGCTCGCTTTGTGAGACGGCCAAAGATTTTCACACCTCATTGAGCGACTGGAGAGAGACACCACAGTCTGTCCTCCTCCTCCTCCTCACTTTGTGAATCAATATTAAGCTTCTACAGTATGTGCTGGTTCACGTGTCCCTGGGTTTTCTCTAAGAAATAGATGCCTGAGGCTCAGGTTTGTACTCTGCTGAGGTTTGAGATGTTGTGTCTAGACCCTCCAACTATTGAGTCTCTGCAAAAGGTGGCCTGGATCCTCATGACAGTTTTCACTGCAGGTTGGATGTTATACAAAGAACTATGCCTCCCCCTGGTGGTCATCACAGGCAGCTCCGACACAATGAATGTGATGCAGGGATCCAGGTATGTGACAAATAAAAGATAAACAGTCTTAATGCAACATTTATTTAAAAAAGTGTATTTTAAAAATTATAATTAGAAATCCCAAATATTTTACAAGTGTTTTTAAATCTAACACTTTTACAATATACTGTGTATTTTGTTAACAAAGCTGTTGCCAAAGTTTTGCTTTTAGTCAGTAAGATTTTTATAATGATTGTAATATCTAGATGTTACCTCAGCAATCCCTTCATTTCTCACATCAGTTTTCTGATGAGTGAAACCTCACTGTACACCCAACTCTTACTGTTTCTGAACACACCACTGCAACTCTGAAGAGTCTGATGAAGCTCGTTTCCTCAGTGATGCATGCAGACAATACATTTAGACACGTGAATCATGTGCAGCCCAACACTTTGACAGCCTTTGCTTCACACAGTGACACAAGAGTCTGGGTCGGGGGCAGAGCCGCTGCTCTGTGGTCAGTGACATCATGGGACAGAAGCTCTTCCTCATTCAGAGCATTCAGAATGATTCACTCACACTCGGGCTGCTTTTCAACACAGTTGATCTGATCAAGTGTCACACAGGTTTTGATCTCTTACTTTACTTTTCTGGTTTTATGTTAATAAAAAACAAATCCTGTCAGGAAAGTGCCAAGCAGAGGAGGTGACAGCTAAAATGAGCCCTTTGCTGTTTAAAGACTCCTTCTGGGTAAGTTTGTTCTGTTGCTTCATGTCTTGCTTTAGCTGTCGGTGCTAAAACATTAAGAAACATTTAGATATTTTTAGCTCAAGCTTTTAATTTGTTAATGTTGCACCGTAGATAAGCTAAAATCAAACTCAATAACTGCAATGTCGAAGATAATCTGATAAGTAAAAACATCACAAACTGCAACTTTTCTGTTCTGCTGATCTGAAAGTCTGTAAAATAAAGAATAAAAAACACTAAAGCAGCAGATAAATGTATGTCTGTAATGACCTTTAATGTCCAGAGCTAAAAACAACTCTTATGACTACATGCCATGTCACAAATGGCTGTTTTTGTCAAGTACAACTGTTAGTTCTGCATTTTTTTTTTTTTAAAAATCTTTTGAACCACACAGCAACTTTAAGATCAACTCAAAGACATTTTGTAATAACCGTTACGTCTTTAAGTTCATTGCATTATTTGTGGTCTTTGTTTTCCTGCAGGGGTCTGACTTCACCTGTCATGCCGGGTACGACACTGTGCTCCAGAGGTTACAGGACGGCAAGCACATGTGCAAGGATGTGGAGGAGCTTTTAAAGATGAGGTTCTGTTTCTGTGACTCAAGAACCAGAATGCACCAAAGCTGCACGTTTCATTTACGACGTTTTCTTTCTGCGTTATTTGTTTCCGCGAAGGAACAATTTCACAGTCCAGTCCAGTTACAGACTTGCTTTTCTGAGAATTCAGGAACCTTTATTAATATCACATCTGTTTAAACTGCATCATTCAACAAATGAAGCTTATATTTGTAAATTATTCTCCAAATATTAAAGCATCAGTGATGAGAAATAGCTTAAGAGCATCAGATGAAGTAAACAATTCACTCATGTTTGCATTGTTTGATCATTAACACAATTCTGATAACTCATTAAAGTGCCTGTGACATCATTTACTTTTTGTAATAAATAAGAATGCATTTTTGGAAAGATAACTTTAATAATATATGGCAAAAATAAACTCATGCCTTTGAGATGAGCAGTTGTTGAGATATTCACATGTGCAGTAATAGGAAGTGATGTCAAAGGAGAGTGTCTGCATGTGAACAGAGCGTTGCTACAACAGCTAACAACACAGGCTGTAGAGAAGAATCTGTTTCTTCAGATTACTTTGAGTCACTATGAGAGAGAGATGAAGAAATGTCAGAGTTAAAATAACATTGTTTAAGTAAACAAACACCAGGGAGTTCCTTTTCCTAGAGTTCCCATTTGATGTTGCTTCCTGTTTCACTTTGGTTGAGCTAAATTTCAAAAGAAAAGATGTCAGTTATGTGGTAAAAAGGGACAAATCTGTGTATTATGCCAAGTTCTTAAAAGTAGAAAGTTACAGCGGGTAAATTAAGTATTGAACACGTCACCATTTTTCTCAGTAAATATATTACTAGAGTTGCTAATGACATGAAATTTTTACCAGATGTTGGTAACAACCCAAGTGATCCATACATACAAAGAAATCAAACCATAAATGTCCAGAAATGAAGTTATTTGTAATAATG